GCCTCAGGGACCTGACATGAAAGATGCTCTCCAGGAAATATTGAAGCTTGAACTTTCATTAAAAAATGTCACAAAGGCAGAATTTTATCATCTTAGAATGATTGTTCTTGTAAATTGATGCGTTTCTGACCTGCAGGACCTGTAACTGTAACAGTTTACTGTCTACTCTTTCTGTAACTCAGCTCCTGATGCTTCAGAACTGAGCTGCATGAATATTGTCCCACCTTTTCTAAAGTCTTCAACAGCTTTGTGACAGCCTGGTGTGTAAAGAAATGTGCACAAAGTTCTGCAGGTGTCTGACTGTTCCTTTTCTCTGCTCAGCACCCTGAGCTGACAGGGCTTACCTTCTTACGATGTATCTCAGCCTTCATCTTCTGGATTTCTTCCTTGTCGATCTGAGAGTCCACAACGGCACGGGTCTCCTTCAGAATCTGGGTCTTTCTCTTCCACAACATGAGCTGTTGACTGCAGATGCAAACACACAGATCAGAGTGAGGAAATGAGACAAATCAGAAAGCTGCAAGCATGACTGATGATGAAAGGAAGGAGGGGACTGACTCAGCTTCCAGCAGACTCTGGACAAGAATCTCTCTTTCTTCCTGGGCCTTCTCAACTTTCATTTGGATGTCGACAGCCTCCCTCTCTCTCTCCTAATAAGAATGGTTCAAACTCGTTCAAACGTTTAAAACACTGGGGGAAAACTGTGATAAAGAGAATAAAAGCGTGACGTGCCTTGATTTGTTGAATAAAGTCCGTCTCCATCAGTGTGTTCTCCAGCTCCAGAGCCTGACTCAGATGGTGGTTCTTTCTCAGCAGGCCACCGAGCTTCTCCAGGTCTCGCTCCAGAATCTTGGAGTTCTTCTCCAGTTCTGAGCTCTCTCGTTGCTCCTGCGCAATCTGACCTGGAAGAGAGGGTTTCAGAGCCAAGGTTAAACTGGGTGACTGGTTTGATGGGTTTTCCTCGTGTTTGTGTGGGTGCTTCATACTCTCCAAGTAGATTTTCTTTTGCTTCATTGCTGTGTGCTGAGTCTGCAGCTTGTGCATCATCCAGCTTTTGCTCTCCAGGTCTTTGATCAGTCCCAACAGCTTCTCCTGCTGCAGCAGCCACAGCAGCTGGCCCTTCTTTATGTTTGCATTCAGCTCCTTGATCTGAGCCGTCATTTCCTGAACTTTGATGTGAAGAGGACCCAGGTCGTCACGCTGTGTCCAAAAAAAATAAAATAAATTAAAAGGCAACGTTTTTCTCATTGACTTCCTGTATAATAAGAATGAAGCTGTAGTGTTCACTCACCTTGGTGCGAGCTGTGATTTTTGAAATATTCGCATTGAGGCTGAGGATGGTCGCCTGTTTCTGGTCGATGAGGCGAGCGGAGGTAGAGAACCTGGTCTGAGTGGAGGTCAGTAACTTGTTGTATTTGTCCGTCTCCTCGTCGAGAGCCTCCTGGATGAGAGCCAGGCTGCTCAAGTGTTCGTTGATCTTTTGGCTCTCCTGCTCCACGGATGTCATGTCGTTTTCCAACTGCTGCAGCTGAAGCCTCTGCAGAGAGGAGAGGAAATGTGCTGATCTTCATCTGAGTTTCAGAAACAACATTAGTTCTAAGTCTTTAGCTGCAAACTAAGACATTACAAATATTAAATACAGGTGTAGCGTTTTCCTCATTCAATTTATGATTTTTGGTGGATATAACTTGTTGTTATGACTGTTTGGTGAAGAAAATCAGATATATTCATTTCAGACTTCTGTTAAGGATCTTGCATGACCCTTTGTGCTTCGACTTAGCATATCAACCGTCACCATGGC